TTGGCCAGTTGGGGTCAGCTGTCCTGGCTGTGCCCCCTCCCAGCTTCTTGTGCACCTCTAGCCTTCTCAGTCGGTAGAGCATGGGGAGATGAAAAGTCCTTGGCTAGTGTAAGCACTACCTAGCAACAGCTAAAACATCGGTGCGTTATCAACATTGTTGTCACCCTAAATCCAAAACACAGCACTGTACCAGCTACTAGGAAGGAAATTAACTCTATCCCTGCCAAAACCAGGACAGTCACTCCGTTAGGAGGACACCTTGTGGCAGCAGTACTATTCCTGGGTGTTCCTGTTTGTCATCAAGTAGCTCTTTTCCTGCTTCAGGCAGGGAACTCCCTCTCAGAAGGCAGAAGTTACATCCCAAAGGAGTTCCTTGAAATGTTTTGTACTGAGCAGTTAGTACCAGGCTAGCAGCAGAATTGGTGTTACTTCTTTTGTTTAGTCAAATAGTAGCATAATCTGAGCACATTGCTGTATCTAATTATAAAATTTACTGTGGGTTCCCTATCATTCTTAATTACCTGTTTCTCTGCTCTTAAAATTCTTTCAGCAATTACCTTGCATATAAAAATAATGAAAAGTCAGTCCCACTCCGTATCTTTTTTTTACGTACTTTACTACATTGGCATAGAATCCTAGTGTGGTTATTGTGACTCTGTTGCCCAGAGACTCATGTCCATTCTCATTTTAAGCAATGAATGAGTTTGCTACAATTCTTTGTAGTTTTTGGTATGAATTGGGACAGAACAAGATTTGAGCACTCCTGAAAAAGTATTTCCAACTGTGACTCATAAGTATCACACAGAATCACAGAAGGGTTGAGGTTGGAAGGGGTCTCTGGAGGTCATCTTGGCCAACCCCGCTATGCTGAAGCAGGGCCACCTAGAGCAGGCTGTCCAGGACCGTGTCCAGATGGCTTTTGAGCATCTTTTCTTCAAGATCTCTTCTTCACAACTTCTCTGGGCAACCTGTGCCAGTGTTCAGTCAGTATCACTGATAGCTTTGATAAGAACACAATACCATCAGTGCAAGGATTAATTAACTAGTCTTTATTATTTTAAAGTGTAGTAAGAGTTGAAATTATCTTACTGAAACTGAAAAATATCAATTAAATACACTTAGAGATAACATGCTATTGGTATTTATAAAATTATTTTCTTCTGCTTTGCATTCATAGACAACTTATTTCAAGGAGTAATATTAACGGCTATTATTCCTTAACTACTTTTGTGTAAAATATTCTATATTTTGTCTGATGGAGGGAGAAAGAATTTATTGTAAGTAGTGCCTACTACAGTAATCTCTAAGTTATTACAAACATTTAATTTCTTAATTTTTCTAAATTACTTCATTTTGTGTATAGTTCTCATACCAAGGAGAAAAAATGTTTTATCTTTTAGTGGCATCATAGAAAACACTTACTCTGTAAGTGACATCTGAAGTTCATCTTGTTTGATTTCCTCCCTAAAGAGTGCCTAACTTCATTAGATCATGTGTTCAGGGCTTTGCCCAGGGATAAAGCGTTCTCTAAAACCTCTTCATCAGTCAGCCCATAAGAATAAAATATTGAAAAATCAAATTTCTTCCCAGGCCATGCCTTACTATTAATGTATTTAACTGAGAATGGGGGTAAAATTTTCAGTCTCTTACATTACTAAGTGTTCATAGGAAAAAAACCTGATAGTGCTCTTAAATCTCAGAGAACCACCTTTTTTATACTGTAGTTTTAACAGTGAATCTCTATTGTACTATCTGTTGAGATAAATTTGATCTTAATGTTTAAGTCTATCGATAAGATGAATACTTACTGAAAGCTGAATTTATAGTTTAATTTCTGCAGAAGTAATTTTTCTATTTTCTTCTTTTAATATTGCTCATTCACAAATTTAATTTCATGTCCTCTATTGGTAGAATTTATGTAGTTAAATATTAAAATATTTTAAAATAGATGGAAAACTAATGCATTTATTCAAAAGCACTATTTGAAGGGGGATTTTTTTATATTCTTCTTTAATATTTGAAAGTTAAAGCAGATCTACACATCCAGGATGACAGGATTTTAGAAAGGCATTAGCTTTAACAATACTTCTCAAAAAATTCATTTTTGGCTTCCTGTTTCCTTTTTCCCTTTTTTTTTTTTCCCCCCTTCCAGGCAATTGCATTGCCTCCTATTGCTAAGTGGCCTTATCAAAATGGGTTTACTCTTAACACCTGGTTTCGTATGGATCCGCTAAACAATATCAATGTAGATAAGGATAAACCCTATCTCTATTGGTAAGTAACTTATAACTTTGCAGTTAACGCTTTGTTTTGGCTTCCTAGTAACAGTTAATCTTTCTCATTGTTTTTAGTTTCTGACATGCTTTTTTCCCCCCAAATATCTGCAGATTTTAATGGCTGCTTACTGTATACAAACTCTTACAAAGTCATCTGTCCATTTTGCTTTAAAATTTGTAAATCCATGGATGCAAGACGTATGCCTTGTAGATAAACCATAAAACCTGGTGTGATGGTTTCCTTAGGAATTTTAAAATATATGATTTCTTAGAGCTGTAAACTGAGAATGTTGTCATATTTTCTGTTTGATGTTTAAGATTCTCAGCTGATGTCAGTACTAAAAAACAAATCTGTTATACTCAGGAGTGCACTGTTTGCACATTAGTTAGAGGTAATAGAAGGTAGATCTGTGAATATAAAAAATGGCTCACTGATCACCTGTTCCCCAAAATGGAAGCTATATTTCATAATACATTAATTGCAGGACAGACAATTTTAGTTTACTTTGATTTGCTGTTGTGACAAAAATAGAAATAACAGTTACATCCTTAATAAAGTCCTCTGATATTTAGAAATTATGCTGTAATAGTAAAAATGTTTATTCTATTGGTCAATCATGAAAAAAGTTTTTTCATGTCAGAATTTAATTATATATCTGCTCAAGTATGGTTGTCTAAGCTGAAGAAAAAAAGGAATGAGGAAAATAAGGAACCTTCTGTTGCATCAGAGCATGCTGGTATTTTCTTCATCACTTCTTTGTTCTTTATATATTTGCTATTTAGTACGCTTACGTTTTCTCATGTTTTTAAAGACTGTATGTCAGCTGTGCAGACAGATGAGGACTGGACATAAGCAAGATCTATCAAGTTTTATCAGCTCAGGAAAACAGGAGTAGCACAAGGAGAGAAGTAACCAAAAGTAACGTTTCTCACTTTGTAGTTATTCCAGGTAGTCTAAAGAGCAGAAGTTTTTAGTAGTCAGCTGAGGAGACGACCAGTAGATGTGGTCCTAGGAATGTACTTGTACTATCAATACATAAAAATCTTACTGTGCATTTACTTGCAAAACCAAAATAATTCATTTTTTTTATGGAACAAATATCTGATTAAAAATAATTTAGGTTTATTCTGAAGAAAAAAATTAATACATGTTCTCTAAATTACCATCTGGGATAATGCTTTTCCATGTGTCCATTTTCTGCTAAGTGCTGTAGTTATTTTACTATGGAGATTTTTTCAAGCTGTTGGCTATAGCTATGTTTATTAGTATGATCTATATTTTATTTATTTTTTCAGTCTGTCAAGGACAATAACAAATGCAATTATAGGATTGAACATGCATACAGAAATTTAACACGTTCATTTGTTTCTCAGCCAGAATTTACGTTTCAGAATTGGCAACTTTAGGTGGTGTATTAGATTTGAGAATTTACTGCTGCCTCAGAACAGGAAAAGCATACTCCAAAGTTACACAGCCCATGATGTTTGCTGCTTTTCTTATGGTTAGTAGTGTAGAAAGACCTTTAGCCTGAGTGATGAATATGATTCCTTCCAATTCCAATATAACGCAGAAGCAGCAATGGCATTAGGTTAGAAAACTTCAGATGTTTGATTATTTATTTTTTTATACATTTTTTTTGCCTTGATGTAGTTCTGATGTTTATTATGATGTGATTACAATTATTATTGAATTCTAAGATTTTTGAGAATGCTTTTAAACATATTTTTTGCACTTAAATAGTTTAAAATCCTCCATGTGTTAAGCTTTCCTGAATATTTATGGATACTTCATATTTGCCTGTGTCATAGGGATTTTACTTCTGGTTCCATTTTTAAGTATATTGATTTAGACCTTTTCTCTAGCCTATATTCACTTTGCTACAAAGAAGTGGTATAGCTTAGAATAATAGTCACGTGTACTCAGACATCTGTCTTTAATAAACAGATTTTTCCTTGATTAGAGTGTTTGTTTTTGAACATGTCAATGAATAAACCCCACAAAGCTGCCCTTTGTGTTATCAAAGAAACCTGAATTTCTTCCTTCAAAAGAATTCTAGGTCTCACCTTAACATTATACTCTAAAGAATATTTTTTGATTAACATACTTCTTATTAGCTACAACTTTAACATTTCCATGTTTGCTTAAAAAATGTCCACTGGCAGTATGATTTACCTATAGTAAGTAACTTAATATAATATCTGTTTATTAGATTGATTAGAATAAAGAGTCTAGAAGAGTCAGAAAACATTTTTTTTCCATGAGTTTATCTTTCCCCATGGTTGATGTGTATTTTTCTTTGTTTTCATATTTTTTCTGTTTTCATAACCGAGAACATACCAAAATAATGTCTTCTATATTTTGTTGTTACAGCTTGGAAACCTGGAGAGAAAGTATAGCCCCAAAACATAGTGAGTTTCAACTCTCTTACTGTAGTGCATAAAGGATAACCTCTCTAGTAAGCATAGGTATTTTGCTGTATGCACAGACTCTTCAAATGATCTTTGGGCATATCCATGCTGAATGAATGACTCGTTATCTCAACACAGACACTTGCACGCACAAATCTTTAATTACAGTTCAGTGTCTCGCTTTCTTACGTTACCTCTTGTTATGGAATATATGTAAAAGGAGAGTATTTATCAAGAGTGGGAAATAAAACTTCAGTGGCTAACAAGGTGGAACTTTGCAAGTGCTTCATATGAGCCACAGAAAGAAGTCAGTCCTACAGAAATCAAATGCCAAAATTGAGTCTGTGTAAATGTAACGTGCATGTAATACATGTAAGAGAAACTGAATATACTAACCTCAGAAGGAAATTAGGAACAATGCAAATACTTGTCATTTTTCTATAGTGGCTTAAACAAAGCCATAATTAATATTAAAACCAGGAAAAATATTCAAGCTAAATCATCCATCTAAACTTCTTTACACAGGTTTTAGACTTTGCCACATGAAAGGTTGAGTCACACACAACCACCACCAAGAGGAGGATACCAAAGCAAAGATTTATTTTCTTTCAGTGTGCTTTTTGGGCATGTAATGTCTTTTTCTGTTTAACTAGGTGAAAAATGTGTCATATAAATTAACTCTTTCTCCATAGTTTCTTCTTAAAAGTCATCTGTCTTTTAAACAACTTTTATTTTAAAAGCAATAACTTAGTATCGTACACAACTTCAAAGAGGACTCTGATTTGAAGCAGAGGTGCTGAAAGCAACATCAGCTAGAACAGGTTCTTCAGGACCTTCTCCAGTCAGGTTTTTGAATATCTTCTCAAATGGAGACATCACAACCTCACTGGGAAACCTGTACCAGTCTTTGACCACCCTCACAATGAAAAAGTTTATCAGTTTCAATTTGTATCCATTGCATCTTGTCCATCCATTCAGTGGATATCACTGAGAAGTCTCTGGCTCAGTCTTCTTTACTCCCCACCCATCAGAACCATACACGTCTTCTCTTCTCCAGGCTAAACAGTCCCATATTTCAGCCACTTCTCATGTGTCAGAGGGTTTGATCATTCAGTCCTTTGCTGGACTTAGTCTGGTATGTCCATGTCTTTCTTGTACCGTGCAGACCAGAACTGGACACAGTACTCCAGATGTGGTCTCTGCAGTGTTGAGGACAGGGGAAGGATCCCCTCCCTCAACCTGCTGGCAATGCTTTTCCTAATGCAGCCCAGGATACCATTGGCTGCCTTTGCCACAAGGGCGCATTACTGGCTCATGGTCAACTTACTGTCCACCCAGACTACCAGGTCCCTTTCTGCAAAGCTGATTTCCAGCTGGTCAGTACCCAGCATATACGGGTGCTTGGGGCAGTTCCTCCTCAGGGGCAGGACTTTGCACTTCCCTTTGTTGATCTTCATGAGATTCTTGTTGGCCTGTTTCTCCAACCTGCTATGGTCTCTCTGAATGACTGCACACTTACCTGGTGTATCAGCCACTCCTTCCAATTTTGTATCATCTGTAAGCTTGCTGAAGGTGCACTCTGTCTCACCATTCAGGTTATTAATGAAGAAGCTGGACAAGATTGGACCCAGTATTGACCCCTGGGGTACTCCAGTAGTAACTGGCCTCCAACTGGACTCATGTTACTGAATACAATGCTTTTAGTCCAGCAGTTCAGTTAGTTTTCAGACCACCTTGCTGTCCGCTTATGTAGCTCATTCTTCATGTTTGTCATTGAGGTTATTACAGTGTTGAAAGGTCTTGCTAGAAATTTGGGATAAACATCCACAGCTTTCCTCTCCATCCTCCAAGCCAATCGTCTCACTGTAGAAGGCTATCAGTTTGATCAAGGATGATTTCGAATTTGTAAATCCATGCTGACTATTCCCATTCACCTTCTTAGGTATGATCCAGGCTTTAAGTGAGTGCAGAAAAAAATGGCCAGGGGCCTTTCTGGTGGGAGAGAGCTGTTACATCAGCTTGACCATGATGTGAAAACTAATGCTTAAAAATGGAGAAGGGAAGCAAAGAAATGCTTTCCTATTTGCCAGATGTGAGGGAAAACTGCTACTGTTCTGTAATTAGCTAAATGCTAAGTGCTGCTTCAAGAACCGTAACCCAATTTGGTTTTTTTCAAATAATTTTAATTATCTCTGAGGATGATGTTGGGCAGCTGCTAAGTGACAGTCTATTAATACTCGTGTATTGGAACAGTATTGTAGCTTTCTTTACCAATAACAAAACGAGTGTGACAATCCTGGAAGAAAATTAGAAGTCTTTGACATTTGCATGGATGATCAATAACAATAAGGAGAAAGCTTTGTGCAGAGCAGTCAGGTTCAAATGGTAAGATTCAGAATTCTATAGCACAAATTTAGTATAAAGCAAACCAACGTCATATACCTAGCAGTGAATAATGGTTGCCATGCTTACAGAATTAGCAGTTATGTATTAGAAAGCAGTAATTACACAAGGATGTCAAGGGTTATTGTGGGTAACCAACTAACCATAAACTGCTCTAGCTGAAAGAGCTAATGTGATGTTTTCTAGGATAGTCTGAACAGAGAAGAGAGTAAAGGTGATGTGATCACTTCCTGAAATCTTGGCAAAAGCATTACTGGAATACCATTTACAGTTAAGAATTGCTACTTCTTTTAAGAGACCATGGGAAAAAATGATACTATTCAGAGAACACTCTGGAGTGAACTGTGCTCTGGAAAACACATTTTATAATGAAACCTTCCAAGAAAAAAAAAAAAGTGATGAAATTAAGGATGCTCTTGACTTCTGTTTTCAGAATTTATGCAAAATCTTATGTTGATTGATTGTTTAGTCTGAGATCCAGTGGGTAGACAGCGAAATAGGAAAATTCAAACTTTTAGACACACAATAATATGGTCACTTTAACTATCAATTATAATAAGACACAGTATAATAATAATAATCACAGTTTAATAGATCGTTGGAAATGTTTCCTCAAAAATGAGATGAAGATTCTTTGTCATAAAGACAGTGCAAATTTAGGAATTTAGGTCTAACCTTAAGCGTGCTCAACTGGGAAGTCTCCATCCTCTAAATATCTATACTTGTTTCTGCTAAAAAAGGAGATTGGGGTGACATTACTTCTAAGTAAGGCCTGGAATTAAATAAAATAAATCCAGATATTAAGATTGGGTTTTTTGGTGGTTTTTTGTGTTGTGTGTTTTTTTTTTTAAGAAGTGCTTTCTTTCAAATTGTGTGTTGGGCTCTGCGAATTAGAGGGTGAGCTGAGGCTGGATTGTCATAATTGTTGCTTTTTGTCCTTAAAACATCCAAGTGCTTCCATTTAATGGAAGAATGGCTAAAACTTCTGAAGGAGCGTTTTAAATTTTGTTTTTACTGATGTAGGGACAAAAAAAAACCAAAACAAAATGCCACAAAGCAAGCTGTCTAGAATTTTCAGTCCTTCTCTAGAGCTAATAATAATAGAGATAATGCAGAACAGTTGCAAAAGCACATAAAGGAATTCCAAAGTTAGTAAAAAATAAACTTTTTTTTTCCTTCAGGCAAGAATGAATTAATATCTTCTCAATCTCAGTACTATGATCATATGTTAAATTGCTTGTAAAATCCTAAGCTAAACAGGAATCTCTAAACAGTTTTGCCAGTGGATGGAAGAATGCTTACCTGCTATTGAATTATATTAACACCCAGTAGCTGCTTTGAGAAACTGGCTGAAATGAAACATAACTATAAGGGCTTTATGAACGATCTGTCTAAAATCGTATACCAGCTGCTATGTGAGGTAGTTAAAGGCTCATAAAACCATATGGGTCTTGACAGTACTGCTCTTGTTGTCTCTGTGCATTTCATCTTTGGATGTGGCAAGCTCTGCGTGTGTAGGTAATTGGTAAGAGAATTTCTGTGCAGTATACTTGAGACCAGTCCTAGCCTACTTTACCTTTGGCAAGAAATAAAATGTGAAGATTAACATAATCTGTATATTATAATGTTGAGGTAAACAGAGAACATATTTGAGTTCTCAGTTTCTTAACTACTGCTGTATTAGAATGCTAATTCATTTGGGCAAAAAAAAAAGTAAAATCTTGGCTAAGCTTCATGTTTAGAAAATCATTCATTCTATTCTAAGATGAAGAATCCTGCTAAGAAATGAAATATTTTTTCATTATTTCTTTTCGTTCTTGTCTTCATATGCTGAACTCCAGGAATTTACACATGTAAGGACAATTCAGTGTTTAAAATTTCAGGAACAGTCTGTTTCTACCATAATGGTGACAAAATCAGCCCAGTAACTTGGGGGGTTAGGAAAGTGAAAAATTTTAAAGGTGTAGACATTTCTTCAATAAGAAATGAAATATTTTTTCATTATTTCTTTTCGTTCTTGTCTTCATATGCTGAACTCCAGGAATTTACACATGTAAGGACAATTCAGTGTTTAAAATTTCAGGAACAGTCTGTTTCTACCATAATGGTGACAAAATCAGCCCAGTAACTTGGGGGGTTAGGAAAGTGAAAAATTTTAAAGGTGTAGACATTTCTTCAAGAACCATTCTTTTTTTTTTTTTTTTTTAATACAGTGTTCTCAGGGAGTTCTCAGTGAATAACAAAATGCTTACTAGCTCCTATTCTAAGTAGTAGGATATATTTTACACAATTTTAATAATGTTTTATCAGGCAAAAACATGATGGTATTTACAATGATTGGCTGTTGGTAATTTAAAAAAAAAGTTTTATTTGACATCTCTAATCAAATAATACTACACCATATGTCAGAACGTAGTGAATCTGTGTATTTTTTTCAGTATCTTTCAGAATAGGATTCTGTTAGCCAAAACCATTTTAGCTTGTAGAGGTGACTTATGTTGCTGAGAAACAAATTTGGCATTGTGAGAGATGCAACTACCTGGTATAAAAGTTATTTGAATGGCATAAAGCCCCAAGCAGGGAAATCAAAGTCTCAAACTAGCCCACAGCACATTCAGTTGTTCTTATTGTAAAAGCTGTATTTTAATGTTTTTAACCTTCATGTTATTGTACAAAATTCAGTAGTGTGGTCGTGCAGGTTATTTGTGTATATGGGTAATGTAGGTTAAATACGTATACGAGTAATATTCTCCCATGAGGCTGTTCACTGTTCCTTTTGTTGTGGGGTATAGCTGCCTATGGGGTCATTGTGGAAGCCAGATCACTGAAATGGTCCATGTTAAAAATAGTCTTCAAAAGATGCAGGGGAATGGCAGTGTTATAAATTGTCTTCACTGTTGAGGTCAGTGGTGATGGACAGTATGTAATTTTTCTCTTCATTCTTACATTATATTTTAGGCTTATTTAGAGATGATTTTTTTTTTTTTTAGGTTTATTAAAAAGAGTGCCCTTTTTTTGCAAGAAGGGTTGTGTGGAAGCCTGTACAAAGGGCTGTTGCAGGGAATAATGCTCCTTTCCAGCGCAGCAGCTTGAGGGGAAAGAGAATTGTGTACGACATGTAGAGGCAGATAGAAAAATGAGGAAACCACAGCCTAGAAAATTTGGGAAAATAAAGCTTCTGCAGCACCTTAACAAGTTGCTAAAGGGAAAGAGCAAACCAAGGCATGCCTCAAGGCCAACGGAACCAGCTTGATGATCAGAGATCATGAGGCATAGTATGCTGCAACTCATAAGATGACTGAAATCAAGACTGGAAATAAGGACCTCTGTGCAAGGACCCATTAGGGTGGAGAAGAGTCGTCTATAGATGTTATTACTCGTTCTGTTTAGCCTGATCACCCTGTTTTTCACATTTAATAGAAGTATTCTAATTAATCATAACAAAAGTGGCTTTCTAGAATTTGGGAATTTGAATGTCTCTTTTTGACCTCCTTTAAAAATTCCCTCATAGGAGAACATCTAAGCTCTGGCCACCTCAGGGTCTAGTCACACCACCTATCTTGTGAGGTGTTTATTTTTTTCAGAAGGTCATGATTTATGAGCTGTATTTTTGACAGTGAGGAAAAAGGAAAATCTGATTCTCTCCTTCATTAATGTACACATACAGATTTAACTGTAAGTTTATGAAGGTAGAATTAGGTCTATATGCAATTTTTCTACATATTAAAATCAAGATTGTATTTGTGTAGTAGGGTAGATGAAAGATGTAGAATTTCGGCAGCTATTAAGTAAGATGAAATCTGAACTTGGTATTTGCATATGCCTCTCACCTCTTAATGTTACTATGAAAAACCTAGTAAAAGTGTTTGATGAAAATGTTACAACAATGAAACCATTTAAAACATCATTATTGTAGTAATATAAAATTATTTTTTGTTACATACATTAAGGAAATGAGAAAGTGTTAATTAGTGGGCTACAGGAGTATATGCAAATGTTCAAAATTAGTAGTGTCTTTATTATACTTGCAAAACTTCATTTCAGAATTTACGGATAAAGTTCACCATTTAGGCCTTGTATTTCAGCCATTGGTTATTTTTATAACCTGATTGGTAATGAGTTAAAAAAAAAAAAAGAGACTAAAAGCTGTATAAAGTATGCTCCATATTAATGATAGCAGACTTCTCTTTATTGTACATAGCTTTCCAGAAGGGAATAAGTGACAAAGCTGTAGATATGGACTTACGTTTTTAAAAATGCTCTTTGTAATGTCATTCATGAATTTCCACCAGCTACCTTTGCAAAATGTTTTTTAAGAAGTCCAGAATTTTTCTTTACAATGCTTTTGATTTCAAATATAAGCAGAGAAATGTATGAGCTTTCTGCATTATCTGTCTTTATGATATTTGTCACAAGAAAGCTGGAAACCCTTACTAAACTTATTTTGTTAAAATTGTAGTCCTTTATCAATTTGACAAATGAAATAAATCCAGAACTCAGATGATGTTATTACATAGATCATTAGCCTAACTAAATCATAAGTCTTGAAAAAGAAATACTTCTTGCGCATAGTAATTACCTTGAATCCAAATTTGTATGTCACACTGGCCACGTTGTTCTCTGAACCCCATAAAATTGCAAGGTATCTCACATTTGTTCTGTGATGGATTTTTCTTTACTACTTAAATCAGATGAGTTATTTTAAATGATGATGAATTAGAAAACTGAGGGAAAAACCTGATAGATAGAAGATTTACCATCTTGGATTTTTGTAAAGAAAAAAAAAAAAAGAAGAGTACTGATTGTCAGAATGTAGCCTGGAATCAAATAAGTGATGAAGGTTAGTAGCTCTCCCCCAAAAAATGGTGGGGAGAGAAGATATAAAGGAAATTAAGTTCACCGTTCCAGGTACTAATTTCTTTTCTTTCTCACAGCAATTTAAAGTAATATTTGGAACTTTTTATTATACAATAATTCCCCTTTTTCCAATTTCATTAATAATTCTTTCTTTTCAGTTTTCGTACTAGCAAAGGTGTTGGGTATTCCGCTCATTTTGTTGGCAACTGCTTAATAGTTACGTCATTGAAGTCAAAAGGCAAAGGTTTCCAGCACTGTGTGAAGTATGACTTTCAGCCACGCAAGGTAAGCAAAATGATATTTACAATAAAGAATAACATTGAAAATGTGACAAAGTGCTCCTGGGAAGAAGGGCTAAATCCCTTTAGTGCCATAGTGTTACTAATAATTTCCGATTTATAAGTAGCTTCTCTGATGGTTGTGCAAAGTTTTATGTCAGTTACCGACAAGAATAAATTCAAGAAAAATAATTATATAATAATTTCTAAAGTAACACTTCTATAAAGTCAACTTGTTCTTAAAAATACTGCTTAACTAGCTTCAGATAGAGAAGAATTTTTAGTATTTTTAAAATGGTTGTATTTTATTTTTAAAAGGTTGTCATTCTATTTCTGAACATTCTGTACTTGGTAACTTTGGTGCCAATGTCTGGAAGAGTTTTGCTGGCAATGCTAGAGTTTTGTTGTCTCTTGCTGGGGGATATAAGGCTCTGAACTTTCTTGTATGTCTTTCTATGTCAGTGGTGTTTTGGGATTTCTCATTTTTCATAGTAAATCTTGATTATTTCTCTAGATCATATTAGTGTTCATTTCTACTGTAGGCCTAGTAGTCCTAGGAGAACAGTGATTCTGCTGGCTTCAATATTTCAGTTAGTTGACTGAAGCATTGACTTTTCTGCAGAGTGAATATTATGTGTTTGTCATTGATAGCAACCTTGTATATATTTTCCTGTGAAGCTCATTTCTTTTTCTGTGGCCTTAGTATTTGTATAGTGAATTTCAGTGCTTGTTGTGTTTTGAGAAACCAATCTCTTAGGGAGGGAATGCCATTGTTCACTCATCAGCTTTATGTTCTACTGTTTTTCTCGGTGCGTATTTGTGATTCAAAATCACTAATTCTAATTCTAATTCTGTCATGTAGCTTTGAGGTCATTTGTAGTTTTTTAAAACATAGTAATGTCATTTTCTAGCATATTACTCAGGGATGTATAAAGCCTTATGAACACATATCTGCTGAGTGTATTGAAATGAATCAATTCTCTTTTGCAAATTTTATTTACTTCTATAGCCAGAAAAGAGTTTTGATGACAGTTCAATTTTCTTTTAAAGTAGCACATCTGATGCTACTGATAAACACTCAACCTAGGAACAAATGGAGTTGTTAACTTTTGGATTATGTTACTGATAACTAGCTTTTGGGATCTAGCTGATCATTTCTTTACTTGATGCAGAAGCAGTCTTTCATATTTTAGCACGACATTCTTTTAATAATTTTTATTATGAATGACTAGTTTCCTTTATGCCACCCCTGGAAAATTCTAGCTCTTGCTATTCTACTTAAAATAGTTACTTCTGAAATACTAGTACATGTATATCTCATTATATGAATATCAGTTTCAAATCATAATCTGCTGATCTGCTGAAGTATGTCCAAATATAACTTCCATGCCAGTTTTATATTTCTCAAAGATCGTGCTTCATACACTTTGGGTTGTATGTCAGATTTAGAAAGTATTTGAAATAAATCTTCTAGAATATATTTGCAAGTGGTTTCATATGATATATTTTTCCATTAATAACTTGTGTGTACATGTGTGTGGGAAGGTATATAATGCATAATGGAGGAAAGAAAACCTGTCAAATACAATTCCTGGCTCTAACAAGTCAAAACATATCCTGTTTTAACATTGATTTTCTTCATGTGATTTAGGTATTACATTGGTTCCACTGTGCAAGCATTGAATGTGTAGATACGTACTGAAAAAATGTGTACCCATTTACAAAGCAGCTTACTGTCCAAATGCTAACTTGAGAAGTGTGATTTTTGTCATCTGTTTTCTAGCCATGTGCTAGAATTTTGTCATACTATTTTGTCATACTATTTTCTAGCCATTTGCTTACAGATGTAGACATTTCAGCAATAGCCTTTGCCAGAAACATCATTCTCATTAAATGTCTGAATAATGTGGGGTTTTTTTACTTTTGTTGAATCACAGTAAAATTATATATTCAAGCCACCTGGTCAAAAGCTTTATGTAGGCAGATCAGAAAGTTAATATGTTCATGTGAAGATCTTCCCTCTGTTAACTATGTCGTATGACACCATTCACAGAATAATATGTAATCTTAATTTAAAACTTTAAGGCGTGTTAAGTGGTTAGTTTGGATTTTAATTAGTGTATTTTAACAACATTATAAAAGCAAGTATTTATAAAAATACATGGAGAAATTTGGTCATCATATCCCCAAATAGAAAATGTGGGTGTAGTATAATAGACTGACCTCTCAATAGAGCTAAACTAGCTTTGGCAGTGTTGTGTTTAATATGTCTATACTGCTTTCTGGGACTCCAAAGTGAAATTTTTGTGTATTAGTAACCCCCAGTAATTTTCACTCCCTGGAGTTCCAGCCTCAGTATCAATCCTTGTAAAAGTATGAACAGGAAAGCACTGTAGTCAAGAGCAAACAGCTTTTTTTTGGTGTTTCTAATAGAGCTAAACTAGCTTTGGCAGTGTTGTGTTTAATATGTCTATACTGCTTTCTGGGACTCCAAAGTGAAATTTTTGTGTATTAGTAACCCCCAGTAATTTTCACTCCCTGGAGTTCCAGCCTCAGTATCAATCCTTGTAAAAGTATGAACAGGAAAGCACTGTAGTCAAGAGCAAACAGCTTTTTTTTGGTGTTTCTATTCCTGAACACTTTACTAATTGTAGTATGGACTGAAATAAGTTGCACATTTTGGAAATACTTAGTGTGTGATGCCTCATCTCTCTGATTGTACTGTGCTATAGAGTAGGAATATGACTTGCTCAGCAGTGGGTGATTAAGCCTGACAGATTTCAGCAGTATAAAAAATTGACAGGCTGGTATCTGAAGTGTCTTTGAGTACTACCTAAGGAAGCTCTTGTTATAGCAGAGAGGCATGATCTTGGTGCATTTTTGAGAAAATGATATAGGGAAGGAGACTGTAGAATGAACTTACAAAGAAAATTGTATTACTGACTTTGAAAATTTTAAAAAAAAGGGAATTTTTCAACTAAAAGTTGAAGAAAAATTGTGTGAGATTATACAACTTGGTTTGGTTTATTGTGTAGCAGTAAGTCCTGAAAACCATGTCCTCAGATACAGAATAGGAAAGAAATCAACAAAATGCCTGTACAACATCAGCAAAGAACATTCACATAAATGAGACATAGGTAATAGGAAATTATGAGACATAAATATATGCTTGCTTCTACATATCTAAAAAAATAAAAGAGAAACTGGAATGTCTATTTCAAATGAGGTTATTGCCATAATAGAAGTATCAGAAGCTTTGTTGACTTGACTGTCAGTGGGAACGCATTTCAAATTGTACTTGCAGTTATGAGTGACAGTGGGGCAGGTCTTGCCAACACAGGAGTGATGCCCTGTATTAAAGACTTAACCTAATCAGATAAATAAGTTTATAGTAACAGTAAATAACAGAGTTTCTGTGCACTGAAGATCAGTAACTAAGTAGGAAAACCATACTATTCAGATTAAATTGTTAGCCACATGATAAGGATGGTTATAGTATCTGTGATGAACTGGGGAAGACCAGAAAGCATACTAGTGTAAAGAAGCTTACACTACTTTGCTATAAACTAGGTGGCATCTTACTGGGACGAGAGTTCAAACTTTTAAATACCAGAAGCATTTGGATTTATTTCTTTCTGAAACTTTTAGAGAGCTCAGAGGTTGACTCTTGCTTGACTTTGTCTTGAAAAATACAGAATATGCTTGGATATGCAGGATTTGCTATTTTTAATTTTAAAGGAACTGCCAAGAACTGCCTTCACTTCTTAAAAAAAAAAAAAAAAAGAAAAGAAGAGGAGCAGTTAAAAGATGGAGGTGTTTGATAGTGCTAGAGAAATTGCTTAAATGCAAAAATACAAAAGGCTAAGAGCAAATATACCATTAGTCCAAAAAATCCAATAAAAGGTTGAAAAGCTCCTCACAATGTATCTGAGCACAGATAAATAGCAAAGTAGAGACCATTGTAAGTAAAAAGAAGTTGTTCAGAAAGTGGAAGTTGTATCAAAATGAAGAATACTTAGAAAAGTATAAGTTATAGCAAATTATATGTAAAATGATAAGACAATTCAAATTTTTTTTTCCAGTCCATAGGGGCAATTAGATGATTAAGGCTTAATAGGAAAAGCTAAATGTATTAATTTCATCATTGTTTACTACAAGACGAGTCAATGGGGATGAGTCAGAGGAAGTGTCTCAAATTGAAATCTTAGTAGAAGAGGTATAGAAATCAATATAAGAGGGAGTAATTAATTGCCAGGACCTTACAGTAGGCACCCCCAATTTCCAAAGACATCTGAATATGAAATTTGCCAAACTTTTAATTGTGGTATATAATCTATTTTGTCAAACAAATGGGTGACGGAAAATTATACAAATTTTAGAAAAAGGCTTTGGTGATATTTAGAATTACATATTATCATGCCTGATTTCTTAACCATCAAAATGGGGTAGAAGCTAGAAAAATGAAAAAGAAGGATTAGAAAACACATAAATAAACATATCGGGGACAAAGCAATGCAATATTGCACTGGAAGTCTTGTCCCCCACTTCTGTTGAATTATTTGAAGGATTCTTACTGTGCATAAGAACAGGTTTGTGAGCCAGTTAATACAGGCTATGTGGATTCCCCAAGAACTTGAGGCATTATACTCCTCTGAAAGCCTTAAAGAAATTACACTATCATGTGATAAGAGAATTTATATTAAAATACAGGGATGGAAGGATATGAATCATGTGAGCAAGCAGGAATCTCAGAAGGACCTTTATTTTCGTGTTGATAAGAATGCATTATGGACTTAACTCAGTGGAGTTTGTCATCCTCTATTTTAGGAACTAGCTTTGAAAACCCATGTTACTCATTTTATCTAGATTGATACTAGTGACAAATACGACACAAAGAGTAAACCATTTTTTAATACTTGAATACTTCCCTGGCTAAAAAGAAATTACAATTCAAGATGTAAATTTAGTTAATTCAAGTGCAGGAGGCAAAAAAGCAATTTTTTTACTGGATTAGTTATGATAACGAGCTGGGACAGACTCTGTGCATGCACGTGTGTGTGCACATGTATTCAAGTAAAGAAAAGCTCGATGTTTTTTTGTAGAGCTTGCCTTGTGGGTCAGAGTAGCAGACATTGGTAGTGCTCTGACATAGCGGCAATGCTAAAGGTTCAAAAAAGTTGCATGGAAGAAAGGAGACTTGGACTAAAAGAAGCTGCATGTGCATGAATAGGAGTTAACATGGGGGAAAAAAAGGTTATAAAAAGTAGATTATATCATTTTCCTAAAGTTTGACATGGACACCAAAGCTCTCCCAAGATAACATTGCTCATTTTAGTTCCTTACAGGCTCTGTGGATAGTGTTTCAACAAAAATAATGAACTATTTATTTCCAAATGAATGAGTCGTCTATTAAGCTTAAGCTACACACAGGGACAGTCTTACAAACTGGTATGTTGTCAGAAATGCTCTTAAAGCACTGTAAAAGAAAAACCACAGATAGAAGATAAATGGATAAAGCTTGGGGCTTATGGTTGTCAGCTGATTTCTGCTACAAAAGTATCAGAACTGGAAATATGAGTAAATAGTTATAAAAGGTACAACTTTGAATAGTGCTATTGCAAAGAACGCCTGCTGTTGGGATGAAAGTATTTAAAATCATCATCACTTAGTGGGGATTATTGGTAAATTAACCTTTGAAGGAAACAGGACAAGGGAGTTTTTCTTCTAAGAGATTTATGTTAGGTGGTGTGGAAGCTTTGGAAAAGAAGTGTTGATGAAAGCAGAGCTCTAGTCATGCGGTTTGCACTTAGTTTCTGATTAGCATAGTCACCAGTTAAGCTTCTAGACTTTGAGTTATGAATATTTTGTTGTATTTATGGGGGGTGTTCCTTTCTGAAGTAGAATCTGCCTACAAAATGGGGAACAACATTTGCTTATTGAGTTGTGGGTTTGTTTTTTTTTTTTTTTTTTTTTTTTTTTTTGGGGGGGGGGGCAGTGGCCTACAAAAAATACTTTGTTCATGGTTGCTTGGAAAACAAAAAATTAGACTGGACACACGTGACTTCAGAAGCCAAAGCTGTAGCAGTATGTCCTTAACCTAGTATTGCCCAATAAATCTGTTTACTTGGATATGCAAGAAGTGAGATACTCTTATGTACTGTTGTATGATTAGTAGGGTTTTTCCCCCCTTCTGTTAACTGTAGGTTTTAAGGAGGGAAAAATGAAAAAATATTTTTAAAGACCTAGAAACAGATGTGGAAAAAGATGTGTATATAGATATATAGAGATATTATAGATATGTAACAGAATACAGCTCAATTAGAGGGCTACTGCAATGTTTATTATCAAAATATATTTTGCTGCATGCTTTTTTTATTTGTAATTCTGTGCTCCATCTGATTTCAAAATCAACATGTGAAAACTTTTGGCTTTTATTTTCTCTGATGCAGAGAGGCAGGTTTTTATATTAGTAAGCTCTGCATCTGCTTACCCCAGCTCAGGGAGAGACTCACCAAGTGACTTATTAAAATAATGCCCCAAGGGATGCAGAAGTTTTCTGCTTTAAAAAAAAGAGACTTAGCTGAACATAAAAATCAAAAGATAATAATTGAAACAGATACCAAGAAAGGGAAGACAAGTAAATTGTAAATCACTTTTCCAAATTATTAAAATATGAAATGGTGTTTCAAGGCAGATGAGCTGACTTTTTCACAGAATCAGTAAGATTGGAAAGGGATGTGTTGAGACAGTCTAGTCTCACCCACTGTTCAAAGAAGGGACACCTAGATCAGGTTGCTCTGGATGTTGTCCAGTCAGGTTTTGAATATCTCCAAGCAAGGAGACTCCACAGTTTCTCTGAGCAACCTGTGCTAGTGTTTGACTATTCTTACTGCTTACTACCACCCTTCTTACATATGTTTAAATGGAGTTTCCTGTATTTCAATTTGTGTCTGTTGCCTCTTGTCCTGTCACTAGATACTAGTGAGAAGTCTCTGGCTCCATCTTCTTTATCCCCTGCCCATCAAGTATTTATACACATGGATAAGATCCCCCTGAGCCTTCTCTTCTCCAGGCTAAACAGACCCATAGCTCAGCCTCTCCTCATGTGTCAGAGGCTTCAATCACTTAATCATCTTTGTGGCCCTTTCTGGACTTTCTCAAGTATGTCCATTTTTGTCTGGTTTGTATATATTTTGAAATAATACGGACACCCATTATAGTTAAGTATGAGTTGATTTGCAGATCTTAAAGATTAAATTTCCATTCCTAGTCTTAGATGAGTTTAAAGGTTTGGTTTTAAAAGAAACCTAAGCTTTGCTTCTTGAACTTACTTATCATGGACATCATGATTCCTGTTGCACAGATTATTTGAAAGATCACCATAGTTTCTCTGTTTGATTATATAATGCATTTTTAATGATATGACAGTTGTCCAAAAATTGGTGGAATGGGAAAGAACAGAGGAAGAAAATCATATGAAGCAATCAGGATGACATCTTAAACTGGGCTGTAAAATTTCCTGTTGTAAATTTTTTCCTTTTATTTAATAATTTCTGACAGAGAGCTATGATGAAAAGGCAGAGATATGTGATATGAATTTGTTAAGGTAAGTGCACATAGAACTGGATTTCCCATCAGAACTCAGTTGTGTTTTGTGTTACAGTGTAACACAATTAAATTACGCTTTCAGGAATGGAAGTTTATTCAACTTTTTAACTGTATGTATGCATTTTTGGCTCTAATCCCATAAAGGGATGCAGGTAGGTACATCATTACATTTAGGCACGGTTCTACTTCTTGAAGTTCCACTGACTTGACTTTTAATTTTATGAGTTTGCAAGGATTCATCTGTTTGTATAACTTTACAAGGCTGGTCACTTATTTTTAATACCATTCATTAACTTTATGTTTTATAGCACAAAACCTGCCACTATATACTGATTTTTCATGTCTTTCCAGTGGTACATGATAAGCATTGTACACATCTATAATCGATGGAGAAACAGTGAAATACGATGTTACGTGAATGGTCAGCTGGTATCCTATGGTGACATGGCCTGGCATGTTAACACGAATGATGTAAGATTTTATTTTTTTCCTTTCTCATAGCTTTTCATTTTGAAGTAAATTGAAAAAGAAAAAAAGTACTATATTTGTTTTCACTACATCTTTGCAAATTTTCTATCTTTTTTTAACTTTTTAACTATCTTCCTTAGTCATGTACTTAATAAAATATTGTAATATTGATTTTATATATTAATATTTTTTAGAATATTGGGGATTTTTTTGGCTGTATTTTGCATAGCTATTTTAATGAAATTTTCAGAGATTTTCTTTGGAGAGACTGTTGTAGCTAATATTTTTAATACGTGATACCGTATAGAGGACACTGATAACAATGCATTAATACTTAGCTTTTTCCATAGGAAAATGTGGTAGAGTTACAGATTTTACAGATTTAGCTTGAGAAAAGTCCTTAAGAAAAACTGATTCATTCTGCCAAATGACTATGCATACTGCCAATGTATACAAAAGTACTCATTTTTGTATCACATTAAGTTCTGTGTTGGATTCAAGAGGACATATTTGTAAATGGTTAAAAGATTTCTGTGCTTTTTGTGTTATTGAACGTTACATTTTAAGTAGGTTTTTTAATTGCAGTAGAACTGAGTAGCCTGAACTATGATCAGAGTCATACTGTTTTAAGCACTGTACAAGTATAGTAAGAGATCTTTTCTTCTATGCAGAGTTTACAGTGTTAAACCAACAAGATAGATAGACAAAAAGTAAAAGCTAGAAAACAGAAGCATAGAGAAGTGTCAAGAGATTTATAGTATTAAGCAAAGTCTGAAGTCTTACATCTGTCTCCCAGTAACAAGTATATTTTGCCTTTTTTTGTTTGACTTGACATTAGTAAATAGGCAGTTGACCAATATTAAAAATGCTGTGCTAAGTGTTAAGGTATTAATCATAGAATCATAGAATAATTTGGGTTGGAAGGGACCTTTAAAGGTCACCTAGTCCAACCCCTCTGCCATGGGCAGGGACAAATTAATATTTAATTAATATTGTTAGCAAGTACAAATTAACTGCTAGGGAATTTCATCCCTGAAATACTGAGCAGTTTTCTTGGGTAGTAAACTTTTACAGAGAGATGTCCTCCCTTATTGGCCATCCAAACCAGTTAAAAGATATTGAGAGACATACTGTTGCATAGCATTAGTCAGCTCAGAGCAAAGACACAGTGATCTTGCATCTGCTTGTCCCACAGGCAGAAACCGGTCATTTTTACCTGGAGAAGATTGTGTGTATACCTGTAAATACATCTGTATCTATTAATTGGACTGAGTTCAAATTAACAGTATATTCTTACAGGAAATACATCTATTCCTATTTTTTTATATTTAAATTATTTTAATGAAATCTAGATAAGTTTCAAAATTTTTTTTTTTGTGCTCTCTTTTTGTGCATTCTACTTTGGAAGGTTTGAGAGTCTACACCTAACGATGCAGAAGATAGGCACTCTTTCTGGCCCAAAGTTTTGGATGGGGAAGGCAGACAAAACGATTCTCTTGTGCTTTGCCTTCAGCTAAAGCTGTGCTAGACTTTCAGAGGTGCTTGATTCATGGGCTTGCTACACTTTTGTTATTTCTTATTTATAGTATAATTCTCAGTTGTTTCTGACTGCCTGTATAGGATAAGGAAGCTCTTTTGTACTTAAGAAAATTAACTGTCTTTTGCTAAATTCTAGAGACAAAGTTGGATTTGAAAGGGAGAGTTTAAATATTACATGTTAATTAAAGTAGGAGGGCTCTGCTTGCCAAAGCTTCTGATAATCATTCTTTGTTTTCTTGGTAGCATTTCTACTTGCAAGAAAAGGCAAGCCTTTCAGTTTTTGCAGAGCATGGTTTCTCCTTGGTAATATAAACATTTTTGTGATAGGTGAGAATGCGATGATTGAAAAGCCAGCTGAGATCTCGGAGGATCTGGGCTGAGTTACTATTTGTACGGTGTGGGGATCTGTAATCCTTAATGATAAATGCTTAGCAGGAAGAGCTGCTCCTTCTATTCATGTTTTCTTCACAGTATTCCTTTCTACTTTCTGGTGTAACAGAAGTACAATCTTTTCTTAAGGTGGGGATTGGTTTACCAAGCTTTAGATGTTTTGATATGTGTCTTTTAAGTTTCTGCTAAGGTTTTACTTTGTCCGCTGGAGAATAGACTGTTATGAAAGACACTAGTTATCCTTAGCTCTCTATTTTTTAATAGCAGAAAACTGTTATATCAGAAGTAGGAAGTAGAATAGGAAGTAGGAGAAATTCAGGAAAGATGTATGAATGCAACTGTGTAAAAGGCATGAAAAGGAAAATAGGGGAGTGCGTATGTAGGCTCCTTAGCACTATTATACCTTAGCTAGGAAGAGAAGTTCTTGTTTTAACTGTATTAGAACTTTCTTGTTTCATGTAAAGGTTGAGTTGTTAAAAGTATTCCCATGAAAAGTCTTGAGCTATTATTCAGCTTATTTGTTAATTTCTACCTTCATACTCTTCCACTTGGATATAACTTTAGCTTCCTGCAAGATGACAAGAAAATATCTTACCATAATCGCTTTGGGGGAAAAGAAAAAAACTGTGCAAGTCAGCCAATCATTCTTCTTTCTTTACATCATATATTGTTGATAACTATTTATGTAGATTATACTGATAGATTTAACAGTGCATGTTGCAAAAACAGATAATGAAAACTGAGAAAGGGACAGGAGTTGCATATTGTTGACTAAGTGCATCTTACTCTTTTCAGTCTTTTCTTATACAAGAACATTGTAAGATAATTGAGATGTAGTGTTTAAAACAGGAAATATAATGAAGACAAAATTTTTCAGTTGCTTACTGTGTCAAAGTTACCACTGAACAAAATGCATTATGATTAAATTTTTTTTTAGATTAATAAAACATTCATTAGATTTGCATTATTGAATTTAAGATTAAGAGACTGAGTTGAATTTATTTTTTTTTTAAGCATAGGTTTTGTCTTGGTAAAGACTGTTAATTTTGTTTATTTTATTTTTTCCCAGATTGATCTTGCATTACAATTCTCTTATATTTTTATGACCTTTTTTTTTAATATCTGACATTTACCTCTTATATCTAAACAAGAACTGAAGAATACCTCAGTCTACAATTTTCATGTGTACCCTGGAAGACACTGAAGTAAAGATGCAGATGACAAAAAGGGTGAAAGTTTAAAAAGATGCGGTTTTTTTTCATTTTTAACGATTTTTTTTCCTTGTATTTCTTCTAATTCATTTTTATTTATACACAGCCATGAAGTCACTGGGTTCTTAACTGTTTCTGTAATATGGGCAGCAAGATATAGGATATTACATGAAGTAGTCATTAAGGCTTCACATCCATATTGTTCCCAAATGTATGTTGTCTTAATAGACATGTTTTTGTCTAGGGATTTGCAAAATGTGTCATCTATGCAAAACTCTAAATCACTCAAATCTTCTCTGAGATTTTTCATTTTATTGAGGGGACCTCCATATATTAAAAATGTTGCACAATGTTCAGCCAAAATGTTAGAGGGAAGATGCGAGTGTGGATGAAAAAGGGGAAGACACTGTAAACTTCTTTGTATAGCTGTTTCTATTGTGAATGGTGCTGATACACTGTTTCCATAGAGCCATTTTTGGCTCTGACTTCATTATTACTATTTAATGAAACATAAAAAACATAGCAATGCTGAGATTCATTGTGTTAGGATGCTACACAAGATACAGTAGCTAGTGGTAAATAACTCATTGAGTTTATATTCCAAGGAATAAATATAGCTAGAGAGTATGACAAAAAGATGAAGTGAAATGCATGACAGGGTATAACATAATCAAATGTGCGCAATTGCCTGCTGGTCAGTAGCCATAATCAGCTCCGTATGCCTTATGGAGTTACTTTTTTATAAGAGATCAAATACACTTTGAGATGGAAGTTAAATGGGAAGAGTTTGGCTATTACAGCTGTTAGATTAGGAATTTTCCCCAGTTATGGGAAGCAACATGAGAGAAAGCATAAAACTTCTCTTCAAGGTGTAGAATATGGGCATACTGAGGTTTGGTGGAAGACTTTTGTTCAGATAGCTGGATGAATTTAAACTTGATGATGTCCTGATGCCTTTCACGGAACTTTGCATTTCCGTTGTAGGATGAGGGAACTGTAGAAGGATTTAAAATGTTGGCATAAGTGGTGAAAAGCCAACAGATTGATGACATCAGTAGCATTTGGGCTGCATTTGAAAGAAGGCTTATCAAGAATTTTAAGGATAAAGTTATGTCCTTAAGTAACAAGGTCCATGAGTCCCAAGAGTTTAATTTTTTATGTAAATAAAATAGGAGGATTTGGACCAAGGCACTGAATGAAGCAGATCTGTCAGTCACCTCATGTTGGGGTCATTAATGACACACTACCAGGGATGTACAGAAATAGGCAAACAAACTTGGATCAGTTGGTATCCGTCAGATTTAAAAATGTGGAAATGTGAGATAGTTGGAGGAAGATCAAATGAGCTATGAGTATTAGGTGCTGATTTTTAAATAAATAAATAAATAAATCAGGTTTACAGATTGTTTGGCGTCTGTAACAGAAGTAAATAAAAATTACCAGAAGATCAGGAGTTAGCCCTCCCCTCCAATTAAAAATAATGGAAGCACCTAATCCAGAGTGAAGCACCAGAAAATGGGAAAGTGTAATCTGGTAAGAATGGAAAAAGACAGAACTGGAAATTACTACAGGTTAACAGATCTACAGTGTGATTATATGTAAAACTCAGAATCTATTGAGAGCTACAATGGCTGTTGTACAATTAATGATAACTAGAAGAATCCAGGAAAATACCCTTGTAATAGGCAGGAATGTATGTCTCAGAATTTGTAAGTGTAAACTAGGAAAAAGGATGGCGTCAGTAGCTCAGACAAATTCCTCAAATAACCATTAAAAATGGCAGTTGCTCAACATGAATTGACTTAATGCTTTCTGACAGTAATGGCACAGGTATCAGTAAAGCCTTGAAGGCTAAGCAAGACTTTAACAATTTTCAGTTAGTTCATTAGGAAGTTTCACCGTTAGATCTACCAGAAGTCAAAGTGCTCTCATAGCACATCTTTTGCACTGTGCATCCTGGATATGCACACTTTATGAATCAATTTTGATGTAGTTTTTTTCAGAAGTTTTTTAGTTTTGTCCAAAAAAATTATAAAAAAAATTAGAAATGCCAAGGGAAAAAAATTAAGAGGTATTTGGTCAAAAGGAGGATAAATCAGAGATAAAATCCTGGATACTTCTTACCTCACCTCATTGTAAAGCTGAGCTCCAGATCTTTGACTTCCTCCTAACTCTTTAGACAGTCTCCTTTTCCTTGTTAATAGCTTACCCACCTCGATCAGTTACTGTAGCAGTTCACCATATTTGATTCCATTCTCCAGACTGACAAAAGTTTTTCTTAGGGTAAAACTCAGCAGCCAAGCAAGATAAAAAAGCAGGCTTCCTAATGCAGATTCTACTGGTTTGCTGATTCAGCTCAAAAAGTGAGGCCTGATCCTTGTTTCCATTAAGTAAAGTACATATGACTTAAGGAAGCTGAGAGAATAGCCTTGCAAAGATCCTCGTGCTTCGTGTTGTTGCCCTCTTGTGCTACTTCTTGTTTTCCAGTTCCCCAGATCTTTATTCTAGGCAGTTAAGTTCTAAACTTTGTTTCATCTGAAAGCCTTTTTTCTTGGAAGCACCAGAACTTAACCTAATTCTTGCAAAATAAATTTAAATTGGGGGGGGGGGAAGCCACAGAAAAACACTTCAAATCTGAAATAATAGGAAATGGACAGATGGAGAACTGCAGAAGGTCTTTGTGCAGAGGCATAGTTGTTGGAAGGAGGAATGGAAAATAACAACTCTTGTGACTGTGGAAGAAGACAGAAGAGGAGTTCTAAGGTCAAACCAAATCATTATAGGCTGTGGTCATAGAGGAAGACTGTGCACCAGTTGCAAACTAGAAAAAATCGTATTTGTTTTTTTCTGCTAGAGATGTTTAACTCTGTTAGCACAACAGTGGAAGAAGAGCGCATTTCAGTGCCTGTTCTTGTGTGTTAGCAGTGGGAGTTTTCATTATACTTACAAGGCTTTCGTATTTCATAGAAGGCAATAGGGAAGGTTATTCGGTACTTGAATGTACTGTTCTAATTTTCTCTGTTGTATGTTGAACAATTAATAAAAAACAAATCCTAGCAGCCCGTCATAACAGCATTGTATTTCTGACCTGTAAAACAATTAACACTACGGTATTCAAAATGGAATTGTTCACTACAGGCAATCAGGTACTGAAGTAATAAATGATTGATTTGTTTTCTTAATTACAGACTCCCTTTATTTTTTGGCTTCAGTAGCTGTACATTAATATTATTTCATTGTATAGTTTGTATGACTAAACTTAATTAACATTGCCTCTTTCTGATACAGAGCTATGATAAATGTTTTCTTGGCTCTTCGGAGACTGCTGATGCTAATAGAGTGTTTTGTGGCCAGCTTGGAGCAGTATACGTATTCACTGAAGCACTCAACCCAGCACAAATTTTTGCAATACATCAGTTAGGACCTGGATATAAGGTAATAATGGGACTTAAAAAAATGTGAAACTGGAAAAAGAAAATAATTGATAGATATAGTTGAAAGATAGGTATGCATGTAGATATTCCTCTTAGGTTCATGTAGAGCTATTTATTTGTTTTCAGCAAAAAAGTATTTCTTCAAGTATCCTAACTAACCGTAATTTCCACCAGCTTTTTGAAAGATGCAAGTTGTTTCTTTAAAGCATAGCTGAAACGTGTTTGTATGTGAAATTTATGACTGTGGGTCATAATCAGATTAGAGCAATTTTGTATTTGGTGTACTGAATACCAGGGGAATAACTTTCTTCTCTGCTCTTTGTGTTTAAAACCTGAGTTAAGGCAGATTAACATTCAGCAAGGCATAATAAACCAGTTCTGTTCAAATGCAGTTTCAAACAGTTCTACTGAAGTAAAAGTTGAGCTTTTTACTCATGCTTTGCCAGTGACATTTAGGAGACAGTTTGGACAAATTAATGGTGCATGCATAAACTTGGATCTCTAGTATGAACAATCACTTATGTCATGGAATGGCTGTGTATAGTATTATTTCATCAATAAAAATAATGCAGATACTTTTCAGAAGTCTGCAGAAACTGCCTAGTGGAGAAGACTTGAAAATGAATCGAACCCCAGCTAAAGACTATTGAATTTCTACCATCAATTATTTCCAAATTTTCTTTTTCTGATTTGTGAAATTTTCACTATCATCTGAAGTAGACTTTCAGTTTTTTAGTATATATCATACACTCTGAAAATAAAAACTTTTACAAATAGCAAGTAAAAATCAACATTTTGATTCTAATAATATTAATTTGGTGTGCTGCAAATATTGCTCTAAATCATTTGATGACAGCTAACACTTGAATGACAGTGACAGCTGAAAATTTCTTTTATGGTATGTATGTAGTGTGAATAGCCAAATATATGTCAAGGTTACTTGGAGAAGAGGAAGTCTAACGGTTGATGGTTAAAACCTGCCTTGAAACTAAAAATGTTCAGTCAGTCAAGAGAAGTGTATCACCTGTGCAAACAAGGAGTACTTTATTCCAAACTTAATACTGTTTTTTGTTTGAACAAATATTTCTGCAAATGTTTTTTTGGTCTTACAAAAGAAAGTAATGTAACCTTATACTTCTTAATCATAAATGTAGTAAATCTTCATGAATTTATGAAGTTCCTGGATTTGCAGCAGCATGCTGAAGTGATATTAAATAGGAATAATGCTTTCATTTGTTTCAAGAAGTGAAAATTATTATGTAATATTTTGTGAGTGTTGAAGGGGTTCATAAGGCATACACGCTTTCACGCTAAATGATGTTTCCAGTAGTTACTGCACTAACCTTATTACAGTGCTGTCAAATTACTTTGCTTGATTCATAGGCTTCCCTTAAACTACATTTCTTCACACCTGTAGCTTCTTGCTGTTTTTTGTAAAGTGTTGGTTAGATGAAATTTAATACTTTGGGGATATTCTTCTTCAGTGTATCATGTTTTTAGGTTTAGGGCGTATTCCCAGCACAGTCAATGCCTCCTTCCTCTCTAAAGTAGTTTCCTTCCTTGTCTAAGAATCTGAAAGTACATTTTACTAATAGCAGTTAAAAAGAGCAGGTTCCTAGAGCAGGACCCTAGAAATAACACGATTTCTTTCTTTAACTTCCTTATTTCCAAAAAATAAGACAAAACAGAACCCTTTTTTCTCACCTTCTTCCAACCCAAGATCTACCCACAACCAAAAAAAGGAACCACGTCCTGTCATTTAGAGATCTCAGGGCACTGATTGTGGCTTTCACTCAAAGCTTGCCTCTTTCATGTCTCAGTTAAGTTTATTTCTGTAAATTCTTTCAGATTCTCTGCGGGTGCAAAGGTCCATCAGTTCAGAACACTTCAGTATGATATTTCATAGTCCAAGGGAGCCTCAACTGACACGTAGCTCAAATTGCTGGACATTAGAGATCACATTCTTGCTCTTACCTAACTTACTGATGCAAACTGGCCTTTCAGAAACTTCTCTTAAGTAGTTCACTGCATGTCCTGTTCATTCTAATTGTTGGTACTGTTAGCCAACTGGGAGAATCGACTGTTCAACTTTGCCAAAAGAGCAACTATTCTGGATGCATTTTGAACTCCAGTTGTGTCAAAGTTTTTCTCCAAAAGGAGGATTATTCAAAATACTTGAGAAGTTTTGGAGAATATCTTCATACAGATGTTTTTTCTTTCCTATGACTGTCTGTGGTAGTTCCTTTGATTTACAATTCTTACTTTAGTCCACTATATCCCAGGATTCTGATTCTTTAGGGAAAGCGACCATCCCTTATTAAAAGCTCTTATTAAAGCTCTACCTGCTTTGTTCATGACAAGAGGCTATGATTTTGCCTCTCATTCAGCTACCCTCACAATCATTCATAATGTCCCTAGTCAACAATGACTGCCATTAAGACCTCTGGAATACAGAGAAATCTGCATACTCTACCAACATACCAGAGCTCAGGACAGTGCAGTAGGCACGCATCTGTGAATATATGTAGTATGTGGTGTTGCAAATAACACCAAAGCCACAAAGTTCAGGAAAAGGCAGATCTTGATCTACAAAGAGAAGTGAATCTGTTGCACCTTGTCCCACCCCTATTCTGTGATGCAGGTAGAAGCAACGGATTTTAGGAGAAGTCATTAAAATAAACTTTATTTATTATTTATATATAATATTTGTATAATTTTATATATATAATATATTATATTACTTATTGCACATTACATGCTTATTACAGAACATTGTAACATAGAAACAGTTCATAATACTTCCATGCTGGTCTTGCTCAACATGTCCCTCTGAATGCATTTAGTTGTACTGTATTTCCTGTAGCATGCCTTAATATAAAAATTTATTTATTAAGCAAATAGATAGTTTACTTTGAAATACTGAATTTTCAGTTGTAGCAAAAGGCCTTTTTTTTTTTTTTTTGAACAAAAA